GTCTCTAGTATATTATACTGGAGCCAGCAAAGTATACCGGTCCAGCATAATAAGCTGGAGTTCTTACACAAGTGCACCGAACTCCAGTATATTATGCTGGACCGGTCTCTATTGCAGCAAAACGGTGGCTATTTTTCATTGACTTGGTAAACGCTGGCTATTTTTGATTGACTAGTTCGAAAACTGGCTATACCGTGAAAGTTTGGCATCCAATTGTGATATGCTTTGGACTTTGTTCTTTGCTAATGCAAGATTCACGTCAATTGGAGTCTTTGCAACTTTAAAGCCCAAGTGCTTAAATTTTTCAAGTACTGTCTTAATATAATGAGATTGTGACAACGCTAGACCTTGAGAAGTCTTATGGATCTTAATTCCCAGAATCAAATCAGCAACTCCCAAGTCTTTCATATCAAACTTGCTAGTTAGCATACGCTTAGTAGCATTTATGTTGGCAATGTCATTACTTATTATGAGCATATCATCCACATATAAGCAAACAATGACTATGTAATTTGGAACATTTTTAATGTACACACATTTATCACATTCATTTATCTTAAATCCATTTGACAACATTGTTTGGTCAAATTTTGCATGCCATTGTTTGGGTGCTTGTTTTAATCAGTAAAGGGACTTAACAAGTCTACAGACCTTCTTTTCTTTACCTGGAACCACAAACCCTTCAGGTTGTTCCATGTAGATTTCTTCCTCCAAATCTCCATTTAAGAAGGTCGTCTTAACATCCATTTGATGAATTTCAAGACCATAAACTGCAGCTAACGCTACTAACGTTCGTTGGACGTAATTCTTGTAACTGGAGAGTATGTATCAATATAGTCAAGACCTTCTCGTTGTCTATACCCTTTGACCACAAGTCTTGCCTCATATTTGTCAATAGTGCCATCATCTTTCATTTTCCTCTTAAAGATCTATTTAGAACCCAACGGTTTATTTCCAGGAGGAAGATCAACCAATTCCCATGTATGGTTGTTCAATATGGATTCTATTTCACTATTAACTGCCTCTTTCCATAACAATGATTCTGAAGAAGACATAGCTTCTTTAAATGTTTGAGGCTCATTTTCCAATAAGAAAGTCACAAAATCTGGTCTAAATGAAGTAGACGTTCTTTGACGTTTACTACGTCTTGGATCCTCCTGGTTAAGTGTACTTTCTTTTGTTTCTTCCCGGGGTCGTTTAGATCCTTCACCAATCGACTCACATTCCTTTTTATACGGATATATATTTTCAAAGAACTCAGCATTATCTGATTCTGTAACCGTATTATTATGAATGTCGGGATTTTCTGATTTATGAACCAGAAATCGGTATGCTTTACTATTAGTCGCATATCCTATGAAAACACAATCAACGGTTTTCGGTCCTATTTTTACCCTTTTGGGTTTAGGAACTTGCACTTTTGCCAAACACCCACACACTTTAAAGTAATTCAAGTTGGGCTTCCTTCCTTTCCATTTTTCATATGGAATGGATTGTGTTTTGCTATGGGGTACTCGATTTAGTATTCGGCTAGCCGTAAGAACGGCTTCCCCCCACAAGTTCTGTGGCAAACCAGAACTTATCAATAATGCGTTCATCATCTCCTTTAATGAACGATTCTTTCTTTCTGCAATCCCATTGGATTGGGGCGTGTAAGGGGCCGTTGTTTGATGAATAATTCCATATTCTAAACATATTTGTTCAAAAGGAGATTCATATTCACCACCCCTATCACTTCTTATCATTTTGATTTTCTTATTAAGTTGCGTTTCAACTTCATTTTTGTATTGCTTGAATGCGTCTATTGCTTCATCTTTACTATTAAGTAAGTAAACATAGCAATATCGAGTACTATCGTCAATAAAAGTTATGAAATACTTCTTTCCATCGCGAGATGGTATTGACTTCATATCACAAATATCTGTGTGAATTAAGTCTAAAGGATTCGAATTCCTTTCAACTGACTTATAAGGATGTTTAACATACTTAGATTCCACACATACTTGACATTTTGATTTGTCACATTCAAACTTGGGCAATACTTCCAAATTAATCATTTTCCGTAAGGTTTTATAATTGACATGACCCAAACGTATATGCCATAATTCATTTGACTCAAGTAAGTAAGACGAAGCTGAAATTTTATTATTATTTTCAACAACCATTACATTCAGCTTGAAAAGGCCCTCAGTGAGATAACCTTTTCCTACAAACATTTCATTCTTACTTATTACAACCTTATCGGAAACAAAAACACATTTAAAACCATTCTTAACAAGAAGTCCAGTAGAGACTAAATTCTTCCTAATCTCGGGAACATGAAGGACGTTGTTCAAAGTCACCACTTTGCCGGAAGTCATTTTGAGAAATATCTTCCCACATCCTTCAATCTTCGCCTTTGAAGCATTTCCCATAGAAATCGTCTCATCGGGTCCAACAGGAGCATAAGAAGCAAAAGCTTCTCTAACAGCACAAACATGGCGAGTGGCTCCAGAATCAATCCACCACTCTTTAGGATTGCCCACCAAGTTGCATTCGGAAAGCATGGCACATAAGTCATCAACATCATCATGCTTTTCAACCATGTTTGCTTGACCCCTTTTCTTGTCTTTCTTCGGAGCACGACACTCCGTAGATTTGTGTCCAGTTTTTCCACAGTTGTAGCAGTTTCCACTGAACCGCTTCTTGCTTGGGTTGTATTTCGGTCCAGAAGCCTTCTTCCTCTTTTTATTCTCTTCAACAATATTTGCTCCCATTATTGTTGAGCTTCCACGGCCTCTCTTTTCAGCAGCTTTGTTGTCCTCTTCGATTCTCAACCGAACAATGAGATCTTCAAGGGACATCTCCTTGCGTTTGTGTTTCAAGTAGTTTTTGAAGTCCTTCCACAAAGGAGGCAACTTCTCAATCATCGCTGCTACTTGAAATGCTTCATTGATGACAAGACCTTCAATGAAATTTCTGTTAGTAAAAATACTAAGATTATTACTTTCAATATCAATATTAATTTGAGTTATACCTTCAGCAAGGAGATCGTGAATAATCACTTGCAATCCCTGGACTTGGGTAATAATAGACTTGCTATCTACCATTTTGTAGTCCAAAAACTTTGCAGCAACAAACTTTTTCAACCCGACATCTTCGGTTTTGTATTTCTTTTCAAGCGCAGTCCATAGTTCCTTTGACGTTTCCACGCCGCTGTAGACGTTATACAAAGCATCCTCCAGCCCGCTTAGAATATAATTCTTGCACAAAAAATCTGAATGCTTCCACGCCTCAATCACGAGAAAGCGTTCAGTTTCTGGAGTTTCATCGGACAGCACAGGAACATCTTTCTTGATGAACTTCTGGAGACTTAGAGTAGTCAAATAGAAGAACATCTTTTGCTGCCAGCGCTTGAAATCAATCCCGGAAAATTTTCCGGGTTTCTCCGCCGATGCCAATGCTGCCGGTGTCGTTCGGCTTGTTGAGGCATTGACAGTCACCATTGGAACAGCTTGGTTCTCATTCTCATTAGTCATTTCCGTAAAAGAATGACACAAACGTTAAAATCACGTAGATTTTAATAGAGTACAAACCACAAAGGTTTTACTCTTCCAGAAACAGTAAGTACAAATACAGAAAATATACTAAATTCCTTAAGCTTGTTAGTAGACTCTATTTGTAAAATAATTCTGGAAATATAAATGAATATAAACAGAAATGAATATACTTACTTTTTGCTTCGTTTGATGCTAAAAGTATGCAGAAGAAGGAGAAGAAACTCAGAAAATCGTAGTGAAATTCTGAGCAGAATAGTGTTGTATTTATAGCCAAAGTTGGGCTGAAATCTGAAGAGGTGCAACTCTTCAGAATGGCTGTTTATGCAAAACGCCCACAGCATAAATGCCATTACATAAATGGCCATTTACCAAAACAGAAAAACGGATTGGATTTAATATTAATATTCTGTTATTAAAACAAATATTTAATAACATTTCTGTTAATATTTTACTATTAACAAATAAATTTGGTCCAAAAAGTTAATCAATCAATCGTTTGACCAAATCCGAATCCGAAGCCGAAGCCGAAGCCGTAGCCGAAGCTGAAGCCGAGCGAGCGACGACAACGACGACGCGAGGCTTGCCTTCTTCTCAACTCTTTAAGAGCTAGAAGAAGAGCAATTGCTTATATACCCATAAAAAACCTCTTCCTCTTCCAATATGGGACAATGCCCATTTGTCAAGGGGGAAACTTAAAATTTCACTCAAAAATTTCATTTCCCTCCATTTTCTATTCACCCTCTTTTAAGTATTTAATATATTAATTAAATACATCCAAAACCCAACAGGATTTATAAAGAAGAAACTTAGGTATGTTCTAAGATATATCTATTCTGTTGCAAGCATTTAGAATTGGTGATTTAGTAGCTGTAAGTATATTATTCCATCCATTCATTTGACATAACCTGGTTTGACTCGGCACGGGATTTAAGAAAAAAATTTGAATTTGTGGTCCTAAAAGCTTAAATGATAAAAGCTTTCTGGGCTATAATATTTGTGTAAAAACATATCAGTAAGGTAAAATGAAAAGCTTAAAGTAAAATTATTTCCTAATATAAAAATGTATCATTCGTTTTTAAACGGACCAATAAGAAAAGTGGGTCATATAAATTAAAACGGAGGAAGTAGTTTTCTTTAAAGCTTAGTGAAGTTCATGATTGGTACAACTTAGTTTGTACGCCATCACCCCTTCTTTTTGGGAGTAAAATATGCTGCTTCGAGTATACAGTAGCGGAGCCAGTGTGTGAAAATTTGAAGAAGTAAATATGCGAATAAGTCAAGGGGATTCAATACATAGTATATACAAGAAAAAATAACTTTTACCTATGTAAACGGTGTACTTTTCTGCGAAGGGGTAGTCGCCTCGGAGCTATGTGGCTCCGTCACTGGCTATATGGTTGGTTGTTGTGTTTGTAACAGTGTAAGTAATTTTATTGTTTATTTACATTTTGCTTAGGATGTGGAGCTGCAACCGATAGTTGAAGAGGTGGAAGAAGAGAATGCGTAGCTTTAGAGCAAGCAGCTACTGATCAAAGCTTTGGAATCAATGGTGGAGATCTAGGAAGAACTGGTCTAGTGATTGAAGAACTGCCTAGTGTGCCTGAGAATGAAGAGAGGGCTATTGTGCTTTTCAAACCCATGAATACATCGCTTGTGCAATCCCCTTCAGATTTTTCTATTAAAGTGAATCTCCAGTTCACTAATGGATTCAAGAGTAAGCATTCGATAGATGTTCTCTGAGTTTTGGATTTAATTTATTTTTTGGTGATGCTCATTCTTAGTTTATCTTCACTTCTTCCTTCATAGAGCTTTTGATGCTTTTAGGGTGTTATCCATCTGGATGTTAGCATTAAATGGTAGTTTCATCAATTTGAGCTGAGTTAAGAAGCTTTTACGAGTAAAGCTTATCGCATGAACTATTTTGGGCAATGGATGAATATGAATAATTTATTGCTTGTATTTCATATTTTGGGAGACAAATGTGGTGATATTAACAATGAGAAATTGCTACAGGCTAAGGGATATCATTTTTTGGCTTTTGTTATTGTAGTCCTTGTTTCTTCCTTTAGTTACATGAAGGATGTGAAGGATAGTTCTTTAAGTAAAGTCGGGAGAGGCAGAGGACTCGTATTTGTGGTGTTCGTGATAGTGGTCTGTGTGGAAAATTGAAGTAAAGAATTACGTTACACATATAAGTTAACTTCACATCATTACTTTGCAGTAGCTAACAGTCTTTTTGGTTTACTAAGTCGTTCCTTTCATGGCTAGTTTTGTTTGGTTCCTGCTGAACTTTGGTTTGGCATTAGAAATTTCAAAACCAGTAACCAGCTTGTGTGTGCTGTACAGATCCAGTCTTATGGGGAAGCCAATCCTGTAATTTGAGACGCGCTGGTGATGAAAATGCAGATGAGAACTCCTCTGGTTCTTCTAAAGGGTGTCTAGCAGTTGTTCCTTGGGTTCCATCTCAGCTTCTTTCATCACAAGGAGGCGAGATTCTAGGCCAAGCTGACGTGTTGGATATGATGGAAGCTGAAGATATGGAGGGGGTGACAATGGATGTCGAAGACAACAGTGTCGGTGCTGAACAAAGGACTGCTATCGATGCTGGTTTAGTTGGTACGTATTAGGCAAATGGGATTTTTCTTTCCTAGGCTGAGGAAGTCTGCATCAGTGGCAACAACAGCACTGCATGATTCTGCAGCCACCCCACAGCACATCTACTCCTATTGTTTGGTATAGATGATTAGATATCGTCAAACTCTTCTTAGATCCCTTGTCTAAATGGGATTGCTAGGTGTAGATGCAGAAGTAAATAGTAGATCAATAGTTTCTGGTGATATGATGCTTGGAAGTTGTGTTGATAGGGTGGGCCAATTTCTCGTTCGTGCTCAGCGTGCCTCGTTTCCTTTGAGTGCCTCGCTCAGTTCACTGGGTTTTTCTGGTAATACTACTGTCGAACAGGAAGTCACCAAAGTGGCTTTAATTGATTTAGGGTAAAAGCTAGTAGAACATATGGTTTGATACTTGCCCGGGAGTAGGGATCAATTGTGACTATACCTGTTAATCGGGCCGGGCTGACCCATTTTCAGCCCGCTTCAACCCGGGTCAGCCCGCTAATGTAGCATATAGGGCGGGCTGAGACGGGTTGGACGGGCAGCGGGTTTTAGACGAATACATTTTGGATACCGGTGCATCGGAACCCGCTAACCCGTTAACGGGTTGTTAACGGGTTGCAGCCCGTTAATGGGTTAACATTTTTTTTTAATTTGTGTACCGTTGCTAACAAAATTTAATTAAAAAAAGAAATTAGCACAGCCCGGTCCGGCCCGTTTAAGCCCGAACCCGTACAGGCCCAATAAAACCCGTATTATATGTTTCCTCCGTTTTAATTTATGTCAACCAATTTAATTGGGCATGGATTTTAAGAAAAGATAGAAGATTTTTGAAATTGTGATGTAAATTGAGGCACATATATTTTATATGGATATAAATTAGGGAGAAATTCATAAATAGCGACAGTTTCAAAAGTCATCGAAATTTAGCCACTTTTCATGTAAAGATAAATCTGAACGAAAACACAGTTTAAAATTCGAAAAATACTCCATCATAATGTACTGAAACTCCAGTATATTATACTGGAGTTTGGAGTTCCAATATACTTTGCTGGAACTCCAGTATATTATACAGGACCCAGCAAAGTATACTGATCCAGCATAATATGCTGGAAGTTCATACACAGGTCCACTGAACTTCAATATATTATGCTAGATCGGTTTCTTTGCATCAAACTAGTGGCTATTTTTCAATGACTTGACAAATGCTGCTATTTTTGAATCACCAGTCCGAAAACTGGCTAACCCGTGCTATTTTGACTATAAATCAATGAATAAAACTAAATTATTTTCAAATATAAAAAGTGGTCATTCTTTTTTGTACAGACAAAAAGAGAAATATGTTCACGTAAATTAAAATGGAGGGGTATAATAAATCAAATAGTAGGTAACAAGAAATTGTAGAGTGTTATGAAATACATATTTATATATGGATGTCCACTAATCAAATATAACTCTCACTACTCTTCTCCATTATGTAGATAACCCTCGCTACTTCTTACCATTATGGATGTAACTCCCACACCTCCATGATCTTCCCCCATGTTCTCAATAATTAATACCATGTTTATGGAGTCCCTTTGTATTACCTATATCATCCTATAAATAGAGGGTTTGGGCATCACATTGTATACACTTGAATACATAGAAGAAATAAGATTCTCTCCTCTCTTCGTTTCTACATTGTTGTCTATTTTATTGTTCTACATTGTTACTTTGAGCTAAGTTTCATAACACGTTATCAGCACGAAGCTTTAATCAACCTAGAAGATATGAATGGTCGACAACCTTGAACCAATTTGGTTGAACCAATGGAAATATGGGCATTATTACGTATGCCATATTAATGTTTAGTTTGCTTCTATTGTCCAGGGAGTATTATTTTTCAAATTATATCATAAATTGTGTATTTAGCTTATGTTAACTTTGTTTAGAAAAAAACTAAGCTTTGATTTTAAGTTTTCATGCTCGTATGGCTGTATATGTCCACTAACTTTATTCCTAGTTCTAAACTTGATCTTATACAATTACAACATCATGTTATCATTGATTTTCCATGATATTAAAAGTTCTTTGTGAAATATTAAAAAGCATTCTGGTCATGTTATGTATTAACGAGGACTTTTAAGATCGATGGCCTAATCTAATTAGATGCAACATTTTTATGCTGATAATTGGCAAAGTGATATCATTATGTTTTACTAGCCGATTTTGACATCATCTGTATTAAAACAGAATATGCTAGCAATAGTTATTACTTAAGATTATTTATTTTTTTAAGTTAAGTATATTTAGTTATGTGTTTCAATTCTTGTGTGCATTTTATTTAATCATCATGCATTAGTTTGCAGTAATACATCACATAGTAATAACGCTACATGGTGACTCTCTTATTGACATGTTTATATGTAGGATACTAAAACACGAGTTTGTACTCTATCATATTTTTATTGATAATAGCTCTTATCATTTCTATTTGCTTATTTTTATGATAGATTTTACTATGTGGCTACATAAAATTATATTCCATTCCCTGATGTGAATCAGACCATTTGTGATAAACATTATATAAGGATAAGACGGTGGGTTCAAGTCCCAACGCACCATGAGGGTAAGGCATCGGGTTTTGAGTCCTGATGATCCATGATTGTAAAAGTTGGGTTCGAGTCTCAACTCATTATGGCCTAACATGTCTTTATATGGGTCAGGCTATTGGGGTTTTGAGTTTTCCAATGCACCATATGGATGACATAGTGATGACTAAAGAAAAATAATATATTTTTCATGGAAAAGCATGAATCTTGTCCCACTTGATTTGCACCATTCTTGAAGTGAATGTGGTAGCAATGCATAATAAGTAAATGAAGACAAGTGGTTGACCAATGAACATGGGCGTGCCATTGATCAAATAATAATAGTCATCATTATGGTAATTGTAAAAAATGAGAACAATAAGGGTTCTCGAAGTAATCCTTCAATAGGTGAAGGAAATATTTACCATCAAATTGGTATGAAAAATTTATAAAGCACGCCGCGACAATTATACTCCATTCTTTAAAGAGAATGTGACTTGTGCATTGAGAATGCAGATTCATTCCTGAAGGTGAATGTAACAATATGTGATAAAAGTAATGAATAAAGACGTGCAATGCATGATTGGATACACAACATAACTCACCTCTAAGGGAGGTTTGAGAGAAAGAGAGATAATGAATATTACTGTGTGATTACATGAATATGTTATTGGTCGCGTACATGTGGTACGCCAAAAATAATTTGACATGCCTTATAAAAAGTTAATAAAGGCAACAGTAAAGCAAAAAGAAATATTTGCTTATGATGATTTTGACCATGACAATTATTATGATATGATTTTCTTCGTGAAGGAGACATTCACCATATGGATGGTGTGACAAAAGATCTTGTAGTACAAAAATCAATTAAGAGCTCCGGAAGAGCTAATTTGTTACTACCCGGATGAATAAAATTGTTCATGACATTGATATTGCAGTAAGTCTTAAAAGAAACTTTTTGAGTTTCAAATGTATTAGCCAAAGTGGTTGGCATATTGAGACTATAAATGAAAGGAAGATTGATTATCTTCATATTATTATAACATTTAACCGGGTAATATGAAAGGTTACCGACTTTCTCCTATTGTACTACACAAATATAATCATGATGATGAAATCACATGCCACAAGTAAACTAGAGGTTTACTGAAATAATTATTAGTTGGCATGACCGGTTGGCCATCGCGATTCAATTATGATGCGAAAACTAATTGAGAATTTACATTGGCATATATTGAAGAAATAGATAATTCTTCAAGAATCCTCTAATGCTGCTTATTCTCATGATATACCAATTAAGGTTGAAGATTGAATCCCTTAAAATCTCGAATGAATAAAAGGTGATATATATATGGGTCCAATCACCTGCCATGTGGACCGTTTACTATTATATATTTTTAAAAGATGCATCTATTGTATGGTCACATGTGCGTTTGTTGTTAACTTGCAGTGTGGATTTTGCAAGGTTGATTGCTCAAATTATTAGAGCATAGTTCCNTAAATCCAAGTTGGTTTAGTAGAAATTGTATGCCTCCAATTATAGCTAAACCATTGGTTATGAGAACAAAATTCGCAAATAGAAATTTGGTATGAGGTATATTATTTAATATACAACAGCACTTGTACGCATCTAGCCAACAAGTTATGATAAATTCTCCCCATCAAAATTGGTTCACGGTCAGGAACCAAATATTCCCATCTAGAAATATGGATGTGCTATATGATTTAATTGTGCTGCCACAATGCACGAAGATGGGTCCCCAAAGAAGGTTGAAAAATGTATTGGTGATCCCGACATTAGGGGGAAAAAATGGGCAGCTGAAAAAGTGATACGTGAAATGAATTATTATGAATACATCTAGATCCTCGTACAAGAAAATGTGAACTTGAAGTTCAAGTGATAACGTTTCTAAAATATTTCCAGGCACATTGCTGACCCAAAGCTAAATGTCATATTCCAGCTGCTAATGCTCCAAATAGAATAACGTCCATAATGGATAGAGTTTATGGCACGCATGAAGCGTAATAGACTAATCGGTTCCAAAGATAAAACTCCTTGAAGAAGGAGAGGAGCAAATGTTCAAGATGGTCATAATAAGAAGGCAAGTGCTTTATAAGAGCACCATGACATAACATTTTATAAGACCTCATGGGAGAGGCTCAGGTACCTGAAAATAATGAGATCTCGATAAGTTATGTCTTTATTATGCGATGATGAAACCGATGTAAAATCATCGTCGATGATGTTGTTAATATAATGTAGCGCTCAATATTATTAATATTGACGAGGATCTTGAGCTCAAATCTGTCATGGAATTTGGACAGATAAATGATTGGCCAAATGAAAAATATGCAATGAAAATTGACTTCTTGTGAAAAATATGAAGTTGGACGAATAGTCCCAACAACTGAAAGTATAAAGGCTATATGGAGATATTGAAATATGATTAGTATTATATTGCAAAAAGAATCCTTGATATAGATTTTTTTATTCTAACAAATGTTGTCAAGGTTTTGTTGTTTATGCAAATGCAGGCATTTATTGAAGTCCCTTCTTCAAACAATCTATTTGTGTGTGAGGAATTGTCATATTATCATTTCACAAGATGTGTGACTTTTCTTTGAAGAGAAGATTCCAATAATAATGAAGAAGATGATGTTTGCTTATCTCAATTGAAAGAAGAATATTGAAGGAGACTGAATAAATCATATATTTCATCAAAGTTCTTTGTCAGACACGATCTTCAACAAAATGATGAAATAGATGTTCAAGAAATTCCTTCAAGTGATAATTTGGCGGAATAATTCACGAAGGCATTGCCGATCTCAATATTAGAG